TTGAAATGTAATATGGCGATATAATTTTAATAATTTAATAATTTTTTTTTTATGAGGAGGAAGAAGTCGAATTATTAGTAAAAATAACATAATTATAGTGAGGAAAAAAAAAAAAAAAAAAATATGCGATTTTTAAAAAAAATTAAATTTTTTTTTTTTGAAATTTTTTTTTTGTTTTTTGGGGTATTGGTTTTTAATTTTTTTTTTTTTTTTTTTTTTTTTTTTTTAATTTTTTATATGCCCCCCCCCTCCCAATTTTTTTCTGGTTTTTTTTTTTTTTTTTTTTTGTTATTTGTAATATTAAAAAGAAGAAACGTTTTCTTGTCAACTATAATTATATGTGTGAGTATGTTTGTGTGTGTGTATGCATGAGTGAAAAGAAAAACAGAGATAAACAAATAGAAAACAAAATTAGTCAATATTGGTGTAAAAAAAAACATTTGTAAACTTTATCTAATTTTGATCAAAAATCCAATTAGAAATAAGGAAATTTTTATTGAATGAATGAAGAAAAATATATAAGAAAGAAAAATGATCAGACAGATATCTTCTAATAATGAGATTAAAATAATTTATGATTTCTAACTATTGTTTATTGATTTGAAAAAATAATTTAATTTTAAAATTATAAATCTTTAAAATTTAACATAAAACCATGAACTTGATTTATTTTCTTATATAAAAATAAAAAAATAAGATACAAAGAATATTTTATTCAAGACTTTCTTTTAACTTTGGTGCTTTTTTTTTTATACTGTCTATGACATTGAAAACAAAATCAATTCAAAAGTATCAAGTTTTTCTGCTGATTATTTTAATCTGATACAGATGTTTGAAATGCATTTCTTAATGTTTTTTTTGTATTCCTAGGAACTGCGTTTCACTCCATATTCACATTAGAGATGAACAGAGACACCATGAAGTACAAGAATTAGGGAGTGAGTTCTCCGATGTCGGAGGAAATCGAAAAATTTTAAAAATGAGAGTAAATATCTGATTTGTCTAAAACTACGCAACTTTTGACATAATGCCTTTAAATTAAGAGTGAAATGTACTGATTTATCCTCATAACCTGTACAATTGATTGAAAACGTGAACCTCACACTTTGACATTGGAAGTACTCAGCGGACAAATGCGTTTGAGTTTAGGACATTTGCTCGAATGAAATTTTCTCGAAAATAATTTGCGCGATGAAGTTTGCTCCAAAATAATTTACGCGATGAAGTTTGCTCGAAAATAATTTGCTCGCATGGAAACCTGCTCGAATTTTCTAAACAGAAATTATCAATATTATTTGCAGCATTTTTCTACAACTTCTAAATCAAAATCCTTACTGAATTAAATATTCTCATCCGAATGGAGAACAACAAATAGCTGCTATAGCACGTAATATCCATTTATAAATTTTATGTTTCAAATAAAGCAGTTTCATTGACAGATAACTGAGATAGGTTCAGTTGTGTTGTTGGTATTTATCTGTAGCTGAAGTAATATTTTGTGTTCATCTTTAATATGTTCTATACACTGCAAATAATATTGATAATCTCTATTTGGAAAATTCGAGGAGGTTTCCATTCGAGAAAATTTCCCCCCTAATCAGGCGTTGTGGTATGAAGAGTCAAGCGTTTATACTGCGCGATTTGGAAGCAAGAAGAATGCAAAGCTTTCAAAATGCGAGTCGTAGCGGATTTTCTTGTGAACAAAAAAAAAGAAAATATATTGATGTTTACTCTAAAACCGAGAGTATTTATAACATAATGAGTAATCAATGACTGCTCATTATGCAGGATCAAATCAGAACTTAGAGTTGTCCCTCTTTGAACTTGTCCCTCTCGACTGAGTGAAGCGAAAGGAGACTTCGTTCTAGGTTATAATTGATCGTAGAGATTCGGGAAAAGATCAATCGAATGTACAACACTTGTAGGTGACACATCTGAAGTTAATTTTTCTATGTATACTTTAGTTTACCTTTAAGGGTACCCCCTCCCCCTCCTTTTTTGTAAAAATTTCGGATTTTGCGTTGAGCATAGCCTGATGTAGAGGAAAGTGTGGGCTACGAAATAAGACCACTCCTAGTACTCCATGACCTTTTTTCAAAAAGTTATGCATTTTTGAAGTTTTTCCTTTAAAACCTAAAAAAACTCAATTTTTTTGTTTCATAAACTTTTCTCTCATAAACTTTTCTGTACATACCAAATTTTTCTTACACATAATCTTATAGAACAAAGTGTTTTCTTCACAACGAGACGTTTTACAGAATTTTCCGATGAGTTTTCGTGGAGATATAAGCGTCGCGGCAAATGCTCCGAAAAAGTGACCTATGTACAAAATACGTTTTTTCGTGAAAACTATTTTTTTGATACTAGGCTTCATTGTGCCACATTACGACCCCTCCCTTCAATTTCATCCCATCGACTCCAAAATTTTACTAGAGGTACTCAAGACGCTATTGCAGAGGTAGTTTTTTAGAATTTTATTGTAGACTTTTCTTTACCGATTTATAGGGTTTCTAAAATTGAAAAACTTGGTTTCTGAGACGTTTTTCAGTATTTTTCCTATAACTCGACCATGAAAGATCTCAAAAAAATTTCCCAAAAATTACCTCTGCGGAATGACCTTGAGTACCTCTTGTAAAATTCTGAACTCGATCGGATGAAATTTAAGGGGGTCGTAATGTGGCACAATGAAAAACCGAGTTTTCTGAAAAATTGGTGAACGGCAATAGCTGAAAACTTGAAACAAAAACGAAAAAATGCTCCATTGAGTTTCCAATCAGTTCTGAAAATACGAAGCCCTAGAGACTTTTAATTTTTATTTCACAGCATTTCTACGGAAAGCCCAAAAAGAGGGGAGGGTACCCTTAATTAGTCCTGGAAAATGAGCATATCTGTTTGAAGAACTTTGCGGTTTTCTGTATGAGATAATTATCGTCACGTGATACTTGACAGTGTATATGCTCTATACTATCTCTACTGCTATAGTGCTTGATATGATAAAAGCTCTAGTAGAATATATAACACGATAATAATGAATCAGCTGATATGTCAATGTGAATAATATATCGTAGAAGAATTTAGTAAAAAAACATAGAATATTTATATTATTTTTTTCTCGCTGATCTCTCTATACACAGCCAAAGATGGACTCATCTATGACTAGACTTGTAGTCCAACTCTGGCTGCCTGAGATTATTCCTCTATATGAAAATACCAGGTGAGCAATACTCAGGAGTATTTTGCCAAAAGTTATATGAGTATCCAACAATACTCAAGCATGAGTACTTAAAATCGTACCAACAATACTGATTACTCACTCATGACTACTCATTTGAGTACTCAATGAGTAAAAAAAATGTGTGAGTAGTCATGTGTGCTCTTGCATACTCCTTTTCAACATGAGTACGCATCTGACACATTTGAGTACATCCACTAGGGTAACAATTGTAGAATTTTCGCTTTTATATGTAGGTTCGTTTTTAAGCCGTGATTAATATTTTCACTTATGAACTAGAGCCAATAATATCAATGAAAAACATGGAAAAAAGGTTCTGTTAAGAGTTACTTCATTTTACAATTTACCTTTGAGAATAATTTCCAAGAAAATAAAAGTAGAAAATAAAAGTCTTTTAAAAAAAAATGTTTTTTGTCCAAAAAGCCCTGAGGGAATCTTTGGGAAATTTTTTGTTTAAAAAGTTTTGTGTTACACAACATTCGAGATACTTTCTCTCGCTCATTTCGAATAGAACCTTAATTTCCAATACAAATGTTTCTGGATGGGAAAAAACACATTCCACCTGAAAAATCGAACTTTTTTAGAAAATCCATACCGAAGTCCGAGAACATTTCCGCTATTTTCTGTGAATACCTTAGATATATATACTGTATATATATATATATATATTGTTACCTCTGAAACGAAACTTTTTTCTCTGAAGGTTTATGTCTAAAGCAAAACTATTTTTCATTAATCGATAGCCGGACGTGTCTACTTTTATATTTTGATTGATTTTCAATTTCAAATTTGCAAAGTTTTATTAAGAACCATAGCATATTTATCGTTCTTTGACTTTGAAAAAAGTGCACTTTCGATTTTTTGCCAAATGTCCCCATCGTTGTCCACCGTGGCGAGACATGATAAAACAACTTTTGAATGAAAGATTCCAACTAGAAATAGCGAATAGTATTTCAATTAGTAGAATTTCTTTTACAGCTCTTTGCTAGTGAATAGAACGTTAAAAATTCAAAACGATTATTGCTCATCCGTAGTTCACACACTATACAGCTTATATCAAACGTCTATCCTCAAATTGTATACAGTGAATATTTATGTTTTAACGTGGTTCCTAGACGAGATGTTTTTTTGTCATCAATGATTTGTTTTCATTTCCTTGTTTAGACAATGTTTGATGAAAGTAAAATTGATATATCTAAATTTCCTCTCATTGATGCTCACCATCATTTATGGGATTTATATGGTGATCATTATCCAAGTTTACGTTCAGTCGAACAAGGTGGTAAAACGGAACATGTTGCTGGCGATTATTTAAAAATCAAGAAAAATTATCAAATTAAAGATTATTTACACGATACAAAAAATTTCAATATTGTCAAATCAGTACATGTACAAGTACCATATGAAAATAAACAAGACGAATATGGAGATATTAAATGGTTACAAGATCAAACAAATGAGAATGGTACTTTTACATTAATTGAAATAGAAAATTAGACATAGATGTCTGCATTGAGATCTTGAATCTAATTCATTTGAAATTAAACATGTTGTTCAGTTAGTTTTTTTTTTGTAGATAATTCTCATTGTCTTCCAAATGGCATTGTTGCCTATGCAAATTTATCTCACATTGATAATTTACGTACAAGATTTGAAGAATTTAAAAAATATCCAAATATTCGGGGCATTCGACAAATGTTAAATTGGTTAGATGACAAACCAAAAATATATACAATGACTGATAGACACGATTATTTGACCAATGATAAATGGATACAAGGTTATTCCTTACTTCAAGAATATAAATTATCGTTTGATTTACAAATATATCAACATCAAATGGTCGATGCAGCACAAATAGCCAGACGATATCCACAAACATCTATGATACTCAATCATTGTGGTATGCAAACGCAGAGTCGTCGCCACAAGTCAGACTTTGGGAGGGGGGTGCTCCATTGAGACAAGAATTGTTTTTTCAGAGAACATTAAAAACAAACATTTCTTCTGGGAAAAATTGAGGATTTTTAATTTTTTGGAGGAAGATTTAGACCCACATACCCAATAACGGCAGCGCTATGCAAACGATTTCCTTAAGACTATGACCATAATGATATAGTGCAAAATACTGAAAATCTAGTTCTGTTTCTTTTTTGTTTTGTTTTTATTTAGGTATGCCATATGACTGTGATAAATTTGATGAATGGAAACAGTGTATGTCCATATTAGCTCAACAATCGAATATTTCATGTAAAATATCTGGTTTAGTTATGTTTCAACATCAATGGACAAAGGAATCATTAAAACCTTATATTGAATATTGTTTGCAGTTATTTGGTACTAAACGTTGTGCCTTTGGATCAAATTTTCCAGTCGATAAAATAAATTCAACATTTGACGATTTATACAAAGTCTATTTTGATATAGCAAAAGAAAGTGGATTAACGTCAGATGAAATGAAACAAGTTTTTTGTGATAATGCAAAACAAATATATAGATTATAATGGACAAAATTTCAATTATATATTTTTTTTCTGTGTTATTTTCTGTTACTTTTTTGCAATAAAGTTAGATTAATTATTTTGCAACAATCCTATTTTAATCCCTTGTCAACAATGCGAATTGAAGATGTCCGCTATCATTTCAGCAGAGCTTGCTTTCGAAACATAAATAGCTATAAGTTTTTACTCGGGATTTCAGAACCAATTTTTCGATAACGTTTTCTCGGAAATCAAGTTTTTCATTATTTTCAGTTTTTCAATTTTTTACTATAGATACTAGACATCAATTTGGTGTTTTTCCATCTATCTTTCAGTCTCTTCCTCACACTTTGGTTAGTAACTACTTTAGTCTGAAAAAATTAAATAAAAATATCTTGAAATAAGATAAGCTTACGATATCTCAACTACTTGTTACACTCACATTACATTAGTTACTTGAACATACACACTCACGTACTTGGAAGCAACGCAGTTCGTCGATATGGACCAAGGTGGTCCATCTTCGTCCAATGTTAAATTAAAAAGAGGTGCATCGGGCGTTAGCAGCAGCTCAAAACATCAAAAGTACAGACAAAAGAATTCTAGGTTGCACCTATAGTGATTAAAGGCCTTACAAACGTAACACGCGTTCAGCTGGGTAAAAAACTTAAAGAAGCAATGCCAACACTTAAAATTTGTAACATCATATACAACGATAAGCAAATAAGCTTTACTATTCAGCCCTCAGATGTGACAACATATAACAAAATTTTGGAAAATTTTCACAATGATGCTTTTCCAGGAAACGATAATATAACAGTCTACGTGCCAGCTCAAATTAAACAGATCATTGAAACAGAAAAGGTTGTTTTCGTTAAAAATGTAGACTACGATTTAGAAATAGACGCAGTTAAACAAAGTCTTAGTCAAGCTGATTTCAGTTTCACAACAGTTGAACGATTGAAACGTCAAGGTCAAAATACGAAAATTGTTAAAATTACATTGACCGATAAATTAAATCGAGAAATTCTAATACAAACAGGTCTCCGTGTTGGTTATTGTTTGTTAAAGTGTGAAGCGGCAAAACACAACAATCCACTGCAATGTAGAAACTGTTTGAAATTCGACCATCCGAAGAAATATTGTAAACAATCATATCAAAGTTGCGCTAAATGTGCTGATCATCATTCTACTGAAAATTGTACAACAACACAATTGAAATGTGTCAATTACGAAGATGATCATGCATCTAACTCAAATGCCTGTCTATCTTTTATTGAACAGCGGCAAAAACTACAAAAAACAATTGATGAATACACGACTCCATTGAAAGCATAAGCTTCATTAAATCCACAAAATTATCCACCTCTCCCAACACCATCATCGCCGTGCCCTTGCTCACATCATCAACAACAAAACATCTCGATTGAAGAGCTTTAGAGAAATTTACTACAACGATAGTTAGTGCTCTCACCTCAGCCATGTGTCAAATGACAACGGCTATCATCTCCACATTTACACAGCAACAACAAAACACTTCACCCTCCTCATTATCATCATCAGCTCAAATTCCATTCTTCCAAATGCTAGTCTGTGATCCGTCCTTATCAAATTCTCTTCACACAACTAAATCATCACGAAAACCTTCTCAGACACGTTCACGAAGCAGCTCAACGCAACGAAACCAGCCACAGACATCAATACAACCTCAAACAACACCATTAATCCCGCCTCTTGGGATACGTGTTCCACAAAGTAAATCATACTTCACTTACATCAAACGCAAACAAACAACAACAACCTCACACTTTATCTCTCTCACAACAAACACAATTATCACCAACATCCCATCCTCTTTTTCATCACAAGATCCCAAAGCTGTGATAAAAATGGAGCAGTGAAAACTCAACATCACACAATTAACAAACAAAATAATAACGACACATCATTTTCTTCTTCTCAATCGAGAAATTTTGTCATATTAACATCAATAGCATACTGGAATTAGGGCTGCGACAGTTACCAGTTACCGTTACCATCGTTCCCCGTTACTAACGGTAACTATAACTGACATAAAACTAATAAGCATCGTTCCTCCTTAGTAGAGGTAATGGTAATTGATATACAGTAAGAAATCCTTTACCCTCCAGTAACGAGGAACGATGCTTATTAATTCTATATCAGTTACCGTTACCTCTAGTAACGGAGAACGCTGGTAACGGTAACTGGTAACTGTCACAGCCCTAACTGGAATACAAACAAGAACTTCTAACAACATATAATGATGCTGATTGTTTTTCTATAGATGAGACAAAGTTAACTACAAAAATTATCTCCCTTACCATGTCTGGCTTCAGCATCTTTCGCCAGGATCGACCAAATAACAACAACGGTGGAGGAGTGTTGTTGGCCGTGAGGAATTGTCATCAAACAAATCTACTTTACTCTGGTCACATTAAAAAGAATGAAATCACCATTATTGAAATTAAACTAAAAAACACTGAAAAACTTATCATCGGAACAATTTATACACCGCCTCAGGTCAGTCTCTCTAAAAAAGCTCTAAGCAAAATCGTCAATCTTCATCACAGATTCCTTATCATGGGGGATTTGAATGCAAAAAACAGTCAACTAGCATGCAAAACAACAAACAAAAGCGGCAGAATATTAGAATATTACCTAAACCAGAAAACTTTTTCCGCCGACAAGTAATTAAACCATCAACAACGACACTTAATCTCATAAAAGAAAAACATAAACTCTACAGAGAAATGAAAAGAGACATCGAAAACGAGGCATTGAAAAACAACTGCTATAGATGCAGACGTCTCGTTACTAACCCTCTCAAAAATGACAGGCGATTGCAGTTTCAATAGATGATGAAAACTCTGTCCGCACCTAAGGTTAGCAGCCAAAAATTATGGTCAGTAGTAAATAAATTTCATGGTAAGCGAATGAGCAGAGAAATAAAAAATGCAATCAAGTATAACAACACTAATGCCAAATTTGATCTTGAAAAAGTGAAACTATTTCGAGAATACTTTGAGAAAGTATATGATCGTCAGCCAAATTCACGTGTTGACCATGTGGCAATTGCACGGAAGGTGGAAATAGAGGCAGAAAAATGAAAGAAATCTAAACAAATTGATCACCGAAAAATAATGGAGCGCGAACTCATGTGTCCTTGCAAAATTGGGAAATACAGCAGTCGGACATGATGGTATCCACAACAAATGTTTAAAACGATACACCAATCTCCTTGTATAACACTTACTGGCCTTATTTAATAGTAGTTTCTCTTTAGGTTTTATTCCAAATGACTGAAAATTGGCTCATATAGTTCTGATCTTAAAACCAGACAAAGATCCAAAAGATCCATCCTCTATCGTCCTATCAGTTTACTCTCCTGTCTGGGAAAAGTTATGGAGAGAATTGTTAAAGAATGGCTCTATCTTCATGCAGAGAGAAATAACCATCTACCAGATTATCAGTCTGGTTTTCGCCGGAAACGAAGTCCGATCGACAACCTCTTACAACTAAAACACAACATTGACGTAACACTTCGCAAGCACAGGTACATTGGCTTAGTTTTATTTGATATAAATGGAGCGTTCGACAATGTATGGCTCACAGGACTGCTTTATAAGAAGAAGAACATGAATGTATCACACAAATTCTTACACAAATATCGGCACATACTAATTGTAACTTATTTGCTGATGACACAGTTGCATGGATGAATGCAAATACAATAATAAATCTGTATATTAGACTGCAAGAATCTGTTGACAAGTTTGTGAGCTGGTGCTCCTTTGGAAACTAGAGATGCAGTCAACAAAAACAAGCTCATTCACTTAACCAGATATCCTCGGCGAAAATTGAGAACTCAACTAAATGTATATATAAAAGGGGACCCTATACCACTGAAGACCGAGGTGAAATATCTTGGAATCACCTTCGACCGATCATTAAAATTCAAAAAACATCTGCAAGATATTAAAAAGAAAACACCTTCTAGAATTGGACTTATCAAATACTTGGCAAGAAACACAGAAGAACAATCTGTCAGACCTCTTGGCATGCTACACAAGAGTTTGGTTCGTTCTATCTCAACCTATGCAGGTGCCATCTTTCTAAACCACACAAACTACTGGGAAGTTACTCAGATCATACAAAATAAGTCTTTATGTGCTGTTCTTCGTCTACCGTCTCAAGTAAATACGTTAATAAACAATTGAATTATACATCCGTGCTCGATTATACTAGACAGCTTACAGAACGATACCTCGAAAAATGTATCATGAACGGCAACACCAGGATAACGAACGTTTTCAGACAAACTGTAGAGTTAAACAATATACTGGATCTACCACTTTCTCACTTCTGTACAGAAAACACTAACTGAAATTTGTGCGTTTACATCTAAATGTCCGACTTTTTGTTTCACCAGGCAGAAGACTGTGAGTCAAGCACCTTTTTAAAAGATTTGTTTGTTTTTCAAAAATAAACCTCTCTCTCTCATCTATCTTTTTCCGATGTGTCCTCTTCAACTAAGAAAGAAAATGCCGATTACTCTAAGATTACTTCTCTATAATTACTTTATACGGGGTTTTGAGTTGACCACTCACGTCCATTATGAAGAAAAACAAGCAAAAATGCTAAATCGAAAAACATCCAAGCGTATTGAACGAACTTACACGCATTGAAGTAACTGTGGTAAAAATGTGAACTCGAATATAACGTGTTAAAATTACATTTTGATTCGAACGAGTGTCAACGCATCCAAGCAGCTAACTTGTTCAGTTTTTAACGAGTTTGACAGATTTACGATCAAAGCGTTATCACGCACTACAAATTCTTACTCGTTAGAATCCGTCAACGGACGTTTGAGCCCCGTTTGAGACCCCGACTCTTCCACGAATTTTTCGCTCGGCGCTCAAATGTCGGTGCTCAAATGTCGGTCGCTCAAACGTCGGTTAATCGTTAGAATCACTGAATATGAAACATTTAACGTGGTTCTAACATTAAGCCGCTTATGTAACGCATTTGGATTATAAAATTTTCGTGATTAACGAGTTTGAACATCGTTTTTATATTATTTTATATAGTTGCAAGAAAAGAGAATGGACAGCTTGAATTATTTCGAAGTGAACCAAATGCTGATCTTTCTAGTATGTTTCCAAATAAATCAACAAAAATTTCAACAAATCTAGGTCAACTTCGACAAATGGCGGTGAAAGATACTGACGACATTAGATTACTACGTACAATGAATGAAGCACAATAAGATGTATTGTTCTTTCGATATATCGACTGCCCGTCCTTCACTAACATCTTCGTTTGCCGACATGACTTAACCATTTGATCTTGTTGCTCGTGATCCAGATGTGTTTTCACCATTTGTACTCATGCATCTGAGTTTTATTTTATTATGTCGACAGACATTATGTGTTTTTGCTGAAATTTTCGTTTTTTTATTTTCTTCTTTCTGTCGTCCTCATTTTTTGGCAAAATGTGCACCTCGTGATCCAGAGAAATATACTACGTAGAAAACTTTTGAAAAACGAGAGAAAAATTTCCCAACATTGGAGACTGACCAATGCACGTTCTTTTTTCAAACATAAGTCCAGATTCAGCGCGGTAAGCTACACAAGTAGAAGTAATATGTTTTTCATGTATTTATAACAGTTGTTTGTCCAACGCCATTTGTTCTTGAGACGACATGTCAAATAAACATATCTGTATTGATTTGATTTACTCAATATAAATAAATATATATATATATATTGAGTAAATCAAGGCAAAAATGCAATGGTCACAGCCTCCTGGTAGGATCTGCTTGGAGCTGTAGGTTCAGTCAGAGGCAGAGTCTGTCGCAAGGGGGAAAGCACGGAATCCTGGAATCCTGGAATCCCACGGAATCCAATAGAATCCAACGGAATCTCATAGAATCCAATGGAATCCAAAGAAATCCAAAGGAATCCAAAGGAATCCAAAGAAATCCAAAGGAATCCAAAGAAATCCAAAGGAATCCAAAGAAATCCAAAGGAATCCAACGGAATCCAAAGAAATCCAAAGGAATCCAGCGGAATCCAAAGAAATCCAATGGAATCGGGTGGATTCCGATGGAATCCGGGATTCTACACTTCTCCCGAAACAGAACAAAAGTGTTCTATATTTTGGGAAACTTTTCCCAAAAACAGAACAAAATATTCTGTTTTGAGGGGAAGTTCCAGAGAATCCAAGGGAATCTTATGGATTCCAAGAGAATCCTATAGAATCCTGGAGAAGCCTATGGAATCCTATGGAATCCTGGAGAAGCCTATGGAATCCTGGAGAATCCGAAGGAATCATAGAGAATCCTTGGAATCCAGGAGAATTCAGGATTCCAGGAGAATTCAGGATTCCAGGATTCCGTGCTTTCCCCCTTGGTCTGTCGACATCGCACCTTGTGCGCAGCGAAATTCCAGTCTAGTTATTTTCTTCTTTCTGTCGTCCCTAGTTTTTTGGAAAAATGTCTTTTTCAAAACTAAATCCAGATTCGGCGCCATAAGCTACACAAATAGAACTAAAATGTTTTAGGGACTTGGAAACTTATCGTGCGCTTAAAAGAGTTGATTCTCCGGTATAAATTCAAACTAGCGTTGCTACATGCTAATGAAAGAATGAAACTTTCTCTCTCGTTCTTCTTCTTCTTCTTTCTCAGATTCAGATAGGACACAGTCTGTCAACATCGCAACTTGTGTGCAGCACAACTGCATTCTAGTTTATTTTCTTGTTCCGTCCCTTTTTTAAGCCAAATGTGCACGTCGATCTTGGCGAACTACGCTACGTAGAAAACTTCTGAAAACGGAAGGACGAGCTCTCCATATTGGAGATTGATCAATGCACATTCTTTTTTCAAAACTAAGTCCAGATTCAGCGCCATAAGCTACACAAGTAGAACTAAAATGTTTTAGGGACTTGGAAACTTATCGTGCGCTTATAAGAGTTGATTGTCCGGCGCCATGTGTTTTTGAGACGAAATGTCAAATAAATATATCTGTATTGATTTGCTTTACTCAATATATATAAATATATATATCGAGTAAAGCAAAGCAAAAATACAATGCTCGGGCAGGATCTGCTTGGAGCGGTACGTTCGGTCAGTAACAGAGTCTGTCGACATCGCAACTTGTGCGTAGCACAATTGCAATTGTGCTGAAAAAAACTAGAGTTTTTTTTCTTTAGACTCTAGTTTTTTTTTTGTTTGGTCATTCTTTTTTACAAAATGTGCACGACGTGATCTAGCGAACTACACTATGTAGAAAAGTTCTGAAAATGGGAGGATAATCGCTCGCCGTTGTAGATTGATCAATGCACGTTCTGTATTCATACATAAGTCCAGATTCGGCGGAATAAGCTACACAAGTAGAACTAAAATGGTTTTGGGATTTAGAAACTTTTCGTACATTTATATAAGTTGATTGTCCGGCGCCATTTGTTCTTGAGACGAAATGTCAAATAAATATATCTATTATTAAAAGTACTGGAAATAGAAATGAAGCGACGGTAAACGAAAGAAGAAAAAAAGAAAAGAAAAACTGATTTGTTAATTGAAATGAGAATGAAGACTGAACATATATAAACTCATGGATTATTGAAACTATTTGGATTATTCATAAACAGAACAAAGAAGAAACAATAACGACAATTTCTTCTTCAGAAGCTTTATTGATTCCTTTCTTTTAGGTATTTATCTGAGTTTCCAAAGCTACCTATAGTGTTAAAACATGTATGTGTTATTCTTGCCTGCTCACCTGCCAGACAGTCAACCTACGCATTACACACCTAATCCATCCACCACACAGCACACCACGTACAACCTCACACGTAACCTCAAGTATTTAAGCATCTAAGCATTAAAATATCAAAATATTTAAGCCATTGTTAGGCCCATTTAAACTATTGAAGTATTGTTTGAACATTATATAATCATTGCTTGACACTATTTAAATAAGAGTTTAACCAGTGATTGAAAATTGTTTAAGCATTGTTCAAGTATAATCAAACTTGTAACGTATATGTTAAGATAATCACAAGATGTAATAGAATAGTATATTAGTGAACGAATTGTATCACTAAGGTCCATAGTAACACTGATCAGACAAGTCGTCCGTCTTCCATGCAATAAATTTCGCATGGAAGAATCGTTTTGCCAAAAACTGCACGGTTTGGAAGGTATAATATATGCGGATGTGAGAGCTTTTGCTATTAATGAATTAACTATTCCGCGATCTTTTCTGCAGAATAAAAAAATAAATAAAATTTTCCGAGATTCTTATGCACAAATGCTTAATTAACAGTTTTCCGAGATCGTTCATTTCCTTCCCAGATTCATTCTGCCAATTTTCTGAGATCTTGTATTTTCACGTCCTTTTGACAGTGAATTTAACTGTCCGCGGTTTTTTTTCCTAAAATATGCGACAATCTCAATTAATATAATTCTCAGCATTTAAATGTCTTTCTATTTTTATGTGGACAGACATTATATGTTTTTGCTGATTTTTTTCTTTTTTTTTTGTTTAGTCATTTTTTTACAAAATGTGCACGACGTGATCTAGCGAACTACACTACGTAGAAAACGGGAGCATCATCTGTCGACATTGGAGATTGATCAATGCACGTTCTGTATTCAAATACAAGTCCAGATTCGGAACCGTACGCTACACAAATAGAACTAAAATGTTTTTGGGTCTTAGAAACTTTTCGTGCATTTATAGGAGCTGATTGTCCGGCGCCATTTGTTCTTAGAACGAAATATAATTTAATTCTATGATCTTATAATTATAAATAAAAATAGAAAGACATTTAAATTCTGAGAAGATGGATACCTGGAAAAGGTACGATGTTCTCCCGACATTTTCTGCTTCTAATAAAAACTAATATCATATTTGTAATCTACGAATAAAACCGCATCGGGCAGACTATTTTAGAAGTGTTCACTGCCTTACATCTAATACCTATGGTAATCCACGAAGTTGAGACATCTTTTTGCAACTCAAGTGCATATTTGAGTATAAATGCACTGAGTAAAAAAACAGGCATGACTCCTGTTTTGTAAAGTTTTTTCTTCACTACAAAGCCTTATATTTTGATAGTTCTTATTCGAAACAGGAAGCTGTTTCTTTCACCATAAGTAAGCAACTTAGCAAAAACATAGGAAACGCACTCGTATTTCAGTTTTCACCATCAAACTTCCATTTTTTTGCAAAATGAATGTCATATCTGGAATCAGCATTAAAAACTAAATTGACTGATGTGCGTAACTGTCCTACCGGAAAGCTGATTGAGTTACCCTTTTTAGGAACTTCAAAACGTTATAACTTTTTGAGAAAAAATCGTGAAGAGTTGTGCAACTTCTCATTATAAGAAGATTCAAAGTTCTTCAAATTCGATTCAAGCAAACTCCCGAAAAGTTTTTGTTCGAACTATGTATCAATACGTTTAAGAGAAATTGGGACTATGTATCAAACATGTAAAAGAAGAAACAACACCAATACCAAAAATTCATCAACAAGAATTAGTTAAATGTAGTTTAAAACATAACGATGTATCATTTTCACCATCATTTTCATCCGTCAATTCATAATTTTATCGTGAACGATTAACCAAAATCGGTGTTAGACGTTACATTAACTGGAAAGTGGAGTACCAATCTTCGTGATAATATTTTTGTTATCAACGACGTAGTTGAAAGTAATATACATTTATTGATATTTGCTATACATATCTTTGTGAATAAAATAGTAAATGATCCTTCTACTGTCTTTATTAATTATACTAATATTAAAAAAGTAAACAATTGATAAAAAGAAATATAGTTATAGAATGATAGAAAATAAAAGAGACGAAACAAGTATTGGGTGGAACAAGAGTAAGTCATTATTCAGTGTCCCATGCCGATGCCGTATTACTAGTATTCAATACTGCATCTAAGCACTCCCCACCTCCATAATAGAAGCGTCAACCGACGTTTGAGCGACCACCATTTCCGCACTGACATTTGAGCGAGCCGACATTAGACACTTTTCAATATGACTTTTTTCTGATCAGGAAAATTTAATGATTGTTCACTTCGGTATCGATTAATAACGATGATGATAAAAATTTCTTTGTCGTGTTCGAGACCTATAGAGAGTGAAGGTGAGTAGCTTTATGTAGTGCAGTTTGTTCAATTGTGGGTGTCGCTCAAATGTTTGTCGCTCAAACGTTGTTTAATCAACAGAAGATCATTGCAGAGCATTT